ACACACACACACACACACACACACACACTCTCTCTCTCTCTCTCACACACACACACTCGCACACACACACACACACACACAGACACACAGACACACTCACTGGTAGATGTCTTTGCGCAGGACTGAGCGCGGCAGTGGATTGTCGGCCTGAGGAGCGACGCTCACCGATCCAATCTTCAGCACAACCGTGTCTTTCTTCCTGTGCATGAGCTGTGAATCTGAACACACACACACCATCATCATCACCCTCCTCCTCATCATCATCAGTGTGTAAGCGCTGCAGCGAGGGTGCGTGCCCACGTGTGCTGCTCTGTGTGTCCTGCAGGGGGCAGAAGACGCGGATCACGCTGGTGTTGAGGTAGACGAGCGGCAGGCTGCTGGAGGACAGTGAGTGTGCTCTCGTGGGCTGCTCTGGGATCGGGGAGCGCAGCTGCGGCGGCGGAGGACACACCTGGAAGACGCGCGCCACGGTGGCCAGCAGAGGGCAGGACAGCCCCAGGTCGAAGGGCTGCGGCGTGAGCAGGATCTCGTGCAGGAGCTGCGGCACTGCGTCCGGCCCGTCCTCGCACAGCCACTGAGACGAGCGCGCCGTCAGCTTGTGCCGCACGTTCCTCGTCACGGCCTGCGTGTACGTCAGCGACAGTAACCCGTGCTACTGGTGAGAGACCTCCAGAGCCTTCGCCGCCGTCTGTCAGAGGTCAGAGGTCAGGCTAGAGCGATCGACGCTCGCTACAATCACACAAACTCAAAGCAGCAGGAAAACAGCCGCGTAATCAAACACGCTCGTGATCGGACAGAGACGCCACCGCAGCAGGCATCAGTAGCAACTTAAGCAACAGCTGCGAATGGAACGGCTACGATGACCGGAGGTAAGCTGTTACACCGCCATAGCAGAGAACGTAAAAATCACTAAGCAACCGTAAACAACACGGCGCAACACGGTATTCAGTCATTTACTGAAGAATTATGAAGATGTTTAGGCAATACTTAAATTGTTTGCTTCACATCATCTCTAGTCTCAGTGCTGCCTGAGATGTTGTTACTAACAGCAGAAATACCTTTGTACAAAAGGAAAAATCGTTAAAATGTCATTTTGAAACATATCAACACAGATTAAATAAAAGACTAATGGTAGAATTGCATACTGATGATATTCTCCCGTAGTAGACGGTTACAGTAGCAGTTAAAGTCAAGATGACGTCAGAATGCCGTTGCCGTTCCATCAGTGGCTGTTGCTTAAAGTCCCTAGTAACGCCACGACTGCGGCCGCTGCCAGCAACGCTCGCTTCAGCTGATTATATAAACGCAGCAAACGTCATTCATCTGCGTGTTTGTAGCAGTGTTTCTGGAGTTCATGAGTCGAGAGCTGTCTCATTTCGAAGGCTGCGCCCTTCAGAGGTTGCATTTGTCAGCTGCATGTGCCATCGCTATTATCTTATTTAAGAACAGTAACCATTATCAAATTGACTGTTATTTTGTAAATTCCAGTAATTTCATTCTTAGTTTGTAATGTAGTGATTACTTTCCTTAAATGAGACAACCTTGATGATGTATGTGGCAAACTAATTTTGTTTGTTTGTTTTAATTAAAGGGGTCATGAACTGCCTCTGTTTTTTTATTTTGTACTGTTCTCCGAGGTCCACTTTTAAGGTTATCATGATTTTTACATTAAAAAAATAATTTAGAAGTAATAGTCTATTTTCTGTCCTGTTTTTAACCCCCTCATCAGAACACTGTTTGAATAGGCGTGGAGGATTGTAGACTCGGAAGTAAACGCCCACTGCTGTGATTGGCTAATAGTTGTGTATGTTTGCCAGCATACATTCCTCACAGATGGACGCTGCTGTGATTTAGGTCATAACTCAATACATATTAAACGATCTGTAATAATAAACAAAGCAATAGTGACCACGTAATGAAAACAGTTACTCACACTTGTGTTGCAACATTACCGTCGGATCCAATATAGTCGCACAGCATCGTCTTTTAGCTTTAATCTTTCTGAAAATCCCGCGTCGAATTGTGCCTTGTTTGTAAATGAATCCGCGCTAAAATGAAGTGAACAAAGGACCGAGTTCTTACTGATGCGGTCTGGAACTTCATTAAAAATAAGTTCATCCACTCTTTCTTGGGATCAGAAGGAAGGCAACGCAAACACTGTTTTTCCACAGCTTGGCACCTCTCTTGTTATTTACATTACATGATAGAATCGGTGGGCGGGGCTAAACAGGCAGCGCTGTAGAATCGGTGGGAGGGGCTAAACAGGCAGCGCTGTAGAATCGGTAGGCGGGGCTAAACAGGCAGCGCTGTAGAATCGGTAGGCGGGGCTAAACAGGCAGCGCTGTAGAATCGGTAGGCGGGGCTAAACAGGCAGCGCTGTAGAATCGGTAGGCGGGGCTAAACAGGCAGCGCTGTAGAATCTGTGGGCGGAGCTAAATGCCCTGAACAGCGGCTTTACTCAGAATACTCGATCAACATCAAGAGCTGCTCTGATCGGCTTTGAACTGCACTAATGAATGCGGATGAGCACAGTGTTGCTGGCAGCCAGAGTCTGAGATCTGCAGAAGCAGCGTTTGTGTACAAACAGAGGCAGCGGCTCTTACAGGTGGAAAGAAGCTGAAATGGCTGTAAGGCTCCTGCTTGCTGAGCTGCCGCAGCAGAACCGTGCGTCTGTTCAGCTTTTCAGTGCAAGAGAGGACGACCCCACCACACGGGCTCTCTTCAGCACTGCACACACACAAGAGGACAACACAAACACAGAGGTGAAAAGTCAGTTCAGAGCTCTGATTGGCTTGCGGTTTGATTGGAAGCTGGTGAAAAGGATTCTGGGAGCAGAGAGAAGAGAATTCACCACAGGACTGAACATGAGAGAACACACACACACACACACTCTCTGTCCAACACCAGGAACAATCGAACGACTGCAGCGTCTCACTCATCAAGGCTCTCATATAAAAAACCTAGTGAGTAGGGCTGGGTTTAAAATAATTAATCGATGTTCACTTTAACGAACCAATCACAAGATTGATCTTTTATCCTGTGCTGTTCAGTTCATGAGTGAACAAAACCAGTTATTACAGCCAGCATTAATGGCTTTAAATTTAAACAATGAATTGGAAAAGACAACTTTTATTGCCTTATGTATCATTTAAATGTTTGTATATAACTCAAATGTAAATTTTTATTTGAGTGCTTATTTCATTTTAAAATATATAGTGATTGAATTTAACAGTTTGAACTCCTTTAATAAAAACCATTTGATATTATAGTGATGAACTGACAGGTTTGAACTGACTGGTTTTTACTGCAGTTGTTAAGCCCCTTCTGAAAAAGAGCAATCTTGATAAGTGTGTGAGAGAGAGAGAGTGTGTGTGTGTGTGTGTGTGTGTGAGCATGTGTGTGAGTGTGAGCGTGTGTGTGAGTGTGTATGTGTGTGAGAGAGAGAGAGAGTGTGTGTGAGAGAGTGTGTGAGAGAGTGTGTGTGTCTGTGTGTGTGGGACAGAGTGTGTGTGTGAGTGTGTGTGTGTGTGTGAGAGAGAGTGTGTGTGTGTGTGTGTGAGCGTTTAGGCAGCATCCACTGCATCCAGATGCTGAGTTTTCCGCTGGCGCTGCTGATGCTGCAGGTCTTCTGCTCCAGAGTCATGGTCTCACCGGACGCAGGGTCCTCGATGTGCGCCGAATCCCCCTGAAACACATACGTCACACACTCTCCCGTTACACAGGCAAATTATTATATTCTCATGAAACAACAAGAGAAAGTTTATTGAAGCAGTGAGTCATTTCTGAGTTCATGTTGATTCATCCCGACTCTAAACATCTTGTTTCCTAAGTTTCAGAAAACATTTTTTACTCCATTAAAGCTTACGCAATTACACAATGTCCTTTTCATGACTGGGTAAACATTTTACCAATGTATTTATATTGATTTAAAAAATATTAGTAAAGCAGATACTTTTATATATTTGTAAATATTTCCAAAAAAATTTTATGTCTGTGTGTGAATAAAAAAAAAATAAATAAAAAAAATAAATAAATAAATATATTAGGGCTGGGCAAGTTAACGCGTTATTATCACGTTAAGCCATTAATTGATTAATGCTGACAATTATTTTATCGCGCATTAACGCAGTTTTTTATTATTATGAAAGTCCGTTGCTCACTGGCTCTGAAGGAGGGGTGGGATGTTGATCAGTACTGGCTTGGGATGAGCGTCATCACGCGTCTCAACCAATGAGAGCCTTTGGGGAGGGTCTAAGCTGTATTTTATGTATGTATTATCATTTTCTATTTTTAACTGTCTTAAATTCATTTTAAATCAATTTTTAAATCATCTTCAAAGTTTTTAAATTCCTTGTTCATGCTAATGGAACCAGAAGTGCATGATGGGATTGGTCTCTCAGAGGCAGCGTGTTTTTGGATCTAGACTTTGGAAGAGAGCCTGAGATCTGGGTTCCTGTGGAGCGGGACAGAGAGCAGCGGCGTGCGAGCAAGCGTTTCTAGATCAACGGTGCGAGCGCTCCGGAGCTGCAGGGTCTCACCGCAGGCGTCTCCTTGCACTGCAGAATCACTCCGTCATAGAGCCAGCGCTCAGCAGGCCTACAACACACACAAGCTCTGAGTGAAAACACTGCACCGCACTGCACAGAGCCGCCTCACTGACCTACACGCTTCACTCTGCTCCCAAACACATACTGGCTTGGGATGAGCGTCATCACGCGTCTCAACCAATGAGAGCCTTTGGGGAGGGTCTAAGACTGCAGCAGCGCTCACATCAAGCGCTCATGACTTAAGTGGGAAAACAGAAGTTTCCGAATAGCACGTGAAGACAGCAGAGAAGCGCTCTCGCTCAGCACAGTGGAGTGCATCGTTTTGTTAACTTTGTGGTTTATTATTTTGAGTCGTTTGGGACGTGGTGACACACGGCCCTCTCACAATATATTGCTTTACAGATCTATCACTCTTGCTGCTCAGAAATGTTTATGCAATCATGCTGCACGTGTCAGAAGTTCGGTTAGCGCTCACACTGATCTATATATAACTGAACCGCACTCTGGCCCACCTCTTCCAACCGAGCGCGGCACGGAGCGATCGCACTAGTCAAACGAACCGGGCTTTGGGGGTCAAACGCGCAAGCGCACGGGCACGGTTAAGATTGCCTAGTGTGAGTACACCTCCGCATCCCGCACACAGGAGTCTCTACTCGCCCATCAAGTGCTGTCCCGCGCTGCACTCTGCTGCGTTGGGTCCCGTGATCGTGCAGGTCTCTAAGGAGCCTGTTATAATGTTATGATCGAGGCTCTGGACTCTGAGCATAACTTGTTTTTCTATAACAAGCTATAAAATATTTTCTATAAAAATGTTAATGCCCTGGCAGTGGCAAATAGCTTTGGTTTTATGTTTAATTTGATTACATTAATGTTATAAGTTGAGATTTACAAGAAATATTTTAAGTGCTACTATGTAAAAGGAATACTGCTGAAAAAAAAGCACCTTATTTGTTGAAAGTGTTTGCAAACCAAATGTTATTTTACTTTTGTTCATATAGCAGTACTTTTAAATGAAAAAAGTGCACAATACA